ACACCTCCCTCTACCAAGGGGCAAAACAGCATTTGTCCCTTACAACAGCAAATAGATTGAACAAACAAAAGTGACACCTTTTCCTGTGATACCTTTCTTACATATGTCTCTTCATAAAGATAACAGAGTAATATTAAGTTCATGACCTAACTAATTTACAAACTCAGACTTACATAAATACGTTCATAAAAGGGACACTTTGAACCAAGAGGCTGCAAATCTCACAAAAACATGAAGATTGCACAAAGGTTGGATTCTGGGAGTGGCAACACTTACCTCTAGAGACTTATGTCTACAGCAGAAATATAACATCTAGCAATTGAATATTAAATAACATACTTTTAACAATGTGTGCTTATAGCACAGTTCGATACAGGAAAATAGTCTCTGGAAAAATTCCTCTATGTAATTTTGACCAGCATCACAAGAATTCCTGTACTTCTAGCCTTCTTAATAGTAAATATTACAGTGCAAACATATTTGCGTTTGGGGAGGATGGGATTATCTTGAGTTACAGACCCTCCATTATGCAATGAGGCAAAGGCAGAACACCTTCTGGGTCAAGTGCAGGGCTTTACAGAGCTGAAGCAGAGTTACTATGTATTTCTGAACTGTGGCCACATCTTCTGATTTGTTGAGGGAGTGTGGCTTTCATTTTTTTTGTTGTTGTGGTTGGTTTGTGCTCCCCTGTTCTCAACTAAGTTATTTATCTTACTATTATGCTTTTCAGCAGAGCCACAGTTGGAGTAGGACTCCGTTCCTCCAACAAACTTATCCTCCTTTAAGTCTGAGTCAAAACAGCCACACTTCTGCCAGAATAATTTTCCCTATTTGAACATGCTAATACCATTTTTTTAAAAGTTAAACAGTAATTTTTACCAACATTCTCAAAATTCAGACAGAACATGTCAATTTAACAAAGCGTGGTCATTTGATGCTTATTGGTTGAAAAGAACTTAACATTTTGAGATTCTGATTTTTTTATCCTGATACAACACAAAAGCTGTTTTGAAACCTCAGAATTTTCTGCAGAATAGAAATCCTAAATGTTCTGCAATACAGCTAGCAGCAGTAGTGTTTCTCATCAAGGTTACCTGAGACTTCTCACTTGAAATGTCTGGTTCAAGTTACCTGTATTTTTGTGAAACTGTAGCTATTTGGAGGATTATTTCCATAGTAGATATTTGTTTCAGGCATAATGTTTCGTGGAAAAAAAGAACCCCATGCAATTCCATGGTTTTGTTCCTGATAAATCCTCATGAGATTATTTTTAAATGCACTGTACTTGGAGCAAAGTCCTCATATTCCACCCCAGAGTTACCTTTTGCTGTTTTTTTGAAACTCCAGCCTACACTAGATCACATTAACCAATTTTCAAAAGCTTCATGCTCATACGCTTCTAAAAAAAAAAAACCACACAAACCACAAACCTCTTCTATTTCAAGAGCTAAATTCTGAAGGTCTTGTTGCTACTGGGCACACTGTACCCTCCTACAGCCCCTATTGTCATTGCGCTCAGGCTCACCAGTCCCAGCAAAAACCTGCCCGTTGTACAACATCAGGCTATGTTGTTCTGACCCTTGCCAACTGTCTTGCCTGCAATGGCCTTGCCTTCTTTGCTTATTGCTGGGCAATAAAGAAGAGGACATCACATGATTCAAACTCAGAAGAGACAGAAGCTGAAACAGGAAGGGGTAAACAGAGTTAGATGTTGAGTCTGGTGTCAATGTGCCTGGCTAGTGGTGAGGGAAGACTGGTACTGCCTGGGCAAAGGGATGTTCAAATAGCAAGGAGAGGACTCAATAAACATCTCAGGCATGTGAAATGAGAGTGGAAGCCTGGAGATGTGGGGAATCAATGGATAAATTGGTATTTGATTATGAAAGTAAGGCATGCTAACGTGCCAGCACTGTATACAGATTAAAATTCTATACATGTGCACATACAAGTATCCTGAATTCAGTTTCCCAACTTAGAAGTTACCACCTTTACAATATTAATAATGTTCTTTAACACAGTATATTGTATGGTGTAGCATCCAAGATATGCAGGTGGGCTGTTCTGCCCATGGAGGGCTGAAGTGCAAATGTAGAAGTGGATTGATCGATACCATGTTTTCCTGATGTCTTTTCCCTATCCATGAATTAGGCAGGCATGAACTTGGGTCAGCAGTAATTTCTGAGTTACACTAAGAGGTTTACACTTAGTTTCTTCCAATTTCTAAAGCAGCCTTAGTGCAAAAATCTACCTTTATTACACTATTTAAATTATTTCTCCCTGGAGATGCTGGGAAATGCAACCAGAGCAGCTGGAATGTGGTAAGACTTCTTGCGAGCCTTGAAATGCTATAGACCCATGCCTGATATACTTTCAAAATGCTAGCACTGCACATGAATTAGAATTCCTCTTTCATGCCATGCTGAAGGATGTGATTATGTCTGTAATACTATAAAGCAACTGTATCCACAATAAGAAGGAAACATTTCTGACGTAGGTTATTAAACAATGAAAAATAGGCCAGTGCAATTTAAGTTCCTTTGGTGGGCTGAACAATAACTAGTAAAATAAGAAGCGAAGAGGTAATTTATTACAGAATCAAAAGCATCACAAGCAGCACAAGAAAATTGTCTTTACTTTAAACTTTATCTCAAGAAGTTTCAAAATAGAAGCATCAACAATACACAATGAATGTGTTGGAGCACATGCAAAAGGAAGGGGATGTAGAAGACCTGTTGCAGCCCAAAATTAAGCCATCACTCAACTTAAAAACATCAGTGTACACACATAGCAACCAGTTAAACACACCAGACAAAAGTATGCTAAAGGTGGTGGTGGCTCAAAAAAACTGAAGACTACTGTGGCAGTCAAATAGATTGCCTGTGTCAGCATGCACCTGCTGTTCCTATTTGATGTGGTGCTGGGCTACATACAAGCATGGAAGGAAAATAGGGCTCCAATTTTTACTGAGAGGTATAAAAGCTCATTATAAGGTTATAAGGCTGCTTAGAATTAAGGCCAGCTCAGAGATCAAATTATGGAAGAAAGAGTAATATCCATCTTCAGTTACTTATTCTGGAAGAGAGTAAAAGAACAGAACAGACAGAACTCAGTATAATCAAATGCAACTTCCATTACAAGTCTATATTTTTCATGCTAAGTCTGACAACTCAGTTCAAACAATTCAAGTTGTTTGTATCAACAAAGCCAATATTTCCGAAGATTAAAAACCTAGAATTAGGCTCCTACTTCCATTTTTGGCTTTTTAATTAGGTTTTTCTGAAGTACTGAAAACAAACCAACTTTAATTGATGGCTTTTATACATTGCTTTTTAATAATAGCTCTTAACTGCTTGGCACTTCAGAGGTTGCAGATAAGATTGGATGTGGTTCAGAAAAGGACTGTTTAGTTTGATTTTATACCTACAGAAGCAAGAGGCTCTAAA